TTATTGGACTTTTAAAAACCTTTTCTTTTTCCAATGTTTTGAGTAAAACATTGGTGGCGACTCCATAGAACCTATTTTCAAAAACCATTGATTAAGGATTAGTCTGGTATCCGGGCATTCCTTACTTGATGAGATTTTCAAAAGGATGTCTAAACCATAGGTCGCAAGATCGGAAATTTTCGGGTTGTGACACTACGCCAATGTATTAATGTTTATACAATATAATAAATGTATACTTGTGATTTTGATTAAAAAAAAGAATCATAAACATTAAATATATAATTGCTATTTTGTAAATCCAAATTAAAAACATATTTATTATACATTACTAAAAATAAATATATTATAAATCATTTCATTATAAATTACTTTTTATTATTTACAAATAGAAATAATATTACTAATATTCATTCATTTCTTAAAATTATCTATATAAAAAATAATTTTTATTTACATTTTATTAAAGACCAATATTTCTATGTTTCTATATTAAACATGTTTATATATCTTATTTAGCTGTAATGGATATTTCATAATTTTTCAAAAATTTGAATACTTTATCCATACATATCACCAATAAGTATTGGTGAAGTATGTACTGAAATTGAATAAAATTTTCATAATATTTTTAAAGGTTATGATACTTCATTGATACGTATCGGTAAAATATCCAAAAATATTGTATTGAATACGGATACGTGAAATAAGTTGAAGTATCAGTACTTCATAGCAACTAAATCATGAAATTTTCAACTCAAACAAAGGCATGATACTTGTTTTAGAATTGTACAACATATTCATTATAACTCACATATTATTGTTTGATAAATCATACAAGAAATATGTTATCAGTTTCCTAAAGAAAGGGAAAAAAAGGGTACGCATTGGACACAAAAGTTGAAACTAGAAACAGCAATATTTCCTATTGAATCAATTCGGCTTAATAAAGTAGTGTCTGTTTGGTTACACGTTCAAAACGTGAATCAAAGTAAAAATTACAGCAAAAATTACATTTAAAACATAAAAATTATAACTAATAGTTTCTATTGTAACTTGATAAATCACCTTGAAAATCTAAACCAAACACACACGTAAACGATTATTAACGGACGTCTGATCTTCCATGAACTTATAATCCAGTATAAAAGAACATTTCAAAAGATTCGTATTCATACATTAAATACACCTTGAAATAACTTTACCTTACATCTCAGATTCCATATCAACATAGTTAAGCCTAGGTAGCAGGAAGCAGCATTACAATGAATGGTCTTTTTTTTTTTTTTTATGCTTAGTGAATGGTCTTATTTTAACAGGAAAGTTACACAAAACAAATTAAAAGTAAAGATAGAAGCTATTTCAGTGTGAGTTTCCTAGGCATATAAGAGAAGATCATAAGTCCCTAGTCCCTACTCTATGAAAGCAACCCTGTTAACTCTCCATTGCAATTTCTGTCCTTGTCCATTTCTTTGAGAAATTTAACAAGTGCTTCCAAGGCAACATCAAGATCCTCATTTCTCATAAGTTGCTCTGCTACTACTGCAGGGCTGACTTCAATTCTCTCCAACAGACCCTCAATTTCTTCAAAGAGAGGATGATCTCCTTCAATTCCCAAATAATTGGAAGCCAAGACTCGAAACGCCTTACCTTTGAGAAAGGACAAGTGAATATGCATGTCCATTCGACCAGGGCGCAACAACGCAGGGTCAATTTTTTCTCTGTGATTAGTAGTGAAGATGACAATTCGCTCCTCTCCACCACTTGACCACAATCCATCCATGTAGTTAAGCAGACCCGAAAGAGTAAACCTGTTTGCCTTAACCTAAGAAATGATTTTAAGAAACCACTATCAGTGTCGGTACTAGAATGTTTTGCTTATAAACATTAACTAATGAGTACTATAGTCAATATAAAACATAAAAAGTGCAAACAAACCTTGGCAGTGACACCCTCATTGTCGGAGTCTGAATCTTGATCTTCAAGACCATTTGCTTTAGATCTTGCATGCACCACTTTGTTGCAATCTACATCTTCAACCACAATGATGGAACGGTTAGATGCTTCCTTCATGGACCGCATGAGCTCCGAGTTACAGTCAACAGAAGTAAGCTCCAAATCATACACATCGAATTTCAAGTAATTGGCAATAGCAGCAATGAGGCTAGATTTTCCAGTTCCGGGGGTTCCATACAAGAGGTAGCCACGTTTCCAAGGCTTCCCCACTTTCTTATAAAGTTCCTTTCTCCTCAGGAACCGATCTAAGTCGTCGATTATATCCTTCTTCAACTCAGGACTCAAGGCGAGGGAGTCAAATGTGGCAGGATGTGATAACTCACTTTCGGTCCAATACCCATCCAACCTGGAATAGATTTTGAGAATCCTCTTGTCAGATTTCATGGCCTCGTATGTTTTAAGCACGTGCGGGATATACCGTTCCAAAGCTCTTTCTCTATGCTTCCCGTTGAAGGTTAGTTCAAAGCTGTACTTTTTGAAATTCTCAGAGTCCTTCTCGGAGCCGTCATCGAGCTTCCAAGTAAACTTGATGCCTTCAAATTCGTCCAGCACCTCTTGAGTTGCATCCACTGCGAGCTCGAGGTGTTTTTGGTCTTCTATTTTCCCAACTTTGAGCGACTTGAAGGTGTTGGTGATCTTGGTGGGGAGGTACTCGTGGGCAGCGTAGAAAAGCTCATTCCGGCTTCTCAAACTTTCGTCCCAAAATTGGTTTATTTTGAGAGAGACTCGGTTGTTGGGTTGGTATTTGGAGAACAAAGACTCTAGCTTTGAGGTGACGAAGGATCGAAGTTGGTGGGGTATGAGATCATTGAATGCTGCTTTGAGGAGCATCGTGAATGTGGAGAAGGCTGCGTAGAGCTCGAACCATGATGAGGCCGAAGTGAAAGAGGAAAAGATGTTGTACTTGTTGGTGTTGGATCCCATGGTAATGGTATGAACTATGAACCACAAATGTAATGGGAAAGTAGATTGGACCCTATGACAGACCACATACTCTTGAGCATATTTATACTGCTTTCAATGCTTGCTGCTCACACTTCCAAAAAAATAAGTTGCTGCTTAATGCATAAGCTATCATATTTGCCGCTTAAGTCTTGTCAATAGTCGATAGAAATATAAGATGTAAACACGTCACTTAAGCCACCATGTGTGGGTCCATAACAAGTGGTCTCATATTTCGAAAAGTGTAGATATCATTCCTATCAACTTCACAACCCTGAGTACTTCTATGAATATGCTTGCCTAATATAGTCCAGTTTTAAAAACAGAAAACCTTAAAATATATGCCCGTCAAAAGATAAGATATTATCTGGTCTTAAAAAATATTTTTTTAAATATAAGTAAATTTTAATTAATTTTATCTCATTTAATGATATTTTTTTAAAAATTAATATATGATCTTTTAGTTATACGATTTTTTGTAATATTTATAATAAAAATAATTTTAAAAAATATTATAAAGTTAATAAAATTTTATATTGATAATCATTTTTTTAAGATGTGTAAATTTTTATTTTTTATTTTTACTTATAATAGATAACATGGAGATTTTTTTAACCATTTTTTATTATCATTTTAATCAGTTTTTATACTGGCTGGTAATTAAGTCAGCACTTTACTTCATTTTATTCCATGTCAATTCTGCAGGTGGGCACGTGTCAGTCTATGAATAAATGTGAGGTGTTCGCTGAAACTTGCTCTGCACTTTATTTCATTTTCTCTCATGTAACGCGTTTCTAAGTCATTTCTAGGAAGTCAAAGCCTAATTGGCATTTTCTTTTCTTATAAACAAAACAAGTTAACCTATCTCTAAAACAAGTTTTTGGTCTTTATTTCCTCTGCACTTTATTTCCTTTTCGAGGTGTTTTATGTCCTCTAATTTTCACCCTTTAAATTGATTTGTTTTTTTTTATTAGAAATTGATTGTTTAAATAGTATTTCTTTTAAATTTATATATAAATAAATAACTTCACACATATTAAAAAAGTTAATTTAATATATTTAATTTTTACAATTTTACGTAAAATATATATTACATTTTTTAAAATATTTTTAACTACATTTATAATAAATAGTATTCTAATTCCTTATAATAGTAGTATTTTTGGATTAAAAGTATTAAATGAAGTTGACTTAATTAAAAATTATTTATATCATAATTATAAAATTTGAACATTTTTTTTTGTTTATATATAGACCTAGAGAGTATATTCTGTCCGGTTTTTATATTAGAGATAAATAAGTTCTTTTTTTCTTAATTATAAGAATTAAATACATATTTTAATATATATTAATAGTTAATTTTCTTTTATACTCTAATGTGTGAGTGAATACATTTATTAATCTATTAACAAGACACTTATATTCTTTGGTAAGAAAAAGTTATATCTTAAATCATATATAATATCATTTAATGTAACTAATATTTAAATCAATAATTTAAAGAGTGGTTTTGAAACAAACTTTAATTTTATAAAATTATTAATGAAGACTATTTATTTTTATTATTTTTATAATTGTGATAAATTAATTATTTGTTTCTTATAAAAAGAACATGAAAGAGTATGTATATTATATTTTACTATCTTATTACAAAAATTAGTTTTAATTATTTAAAAAATTAATTATTCATTTTCTCTTTTAGTTTTCAATTCTAATACTAAATTTTCAAAATTTTTTTATTATTTAGAATTTATTTTACACATAATTTCACCTTGTATATGATTTTTTTTATTCAAATATCAACTAAATTTTACATTTGTCCCGTATATAATAACGTAAGTTTGACGTTTTTAATCAGTTAAAAAATCTGTAAAATTTTATTCCAAAATTAAAAAATATCATTATTTCAAAAGAATAATACTCCATTAATTAAAAATTGAAAATTAAAGAATATTTTTTAAAATTAAAATATTTTTTAATAAAATAAAATGACCATAATTATTGACCCTATTATTTTAGCATTTATTGGTGACGTTGGACCCTAGTTAGATGACATTAAAAGTGATCAAGACAAAGACTCATTGTCTAAATAACATTAAGCGTCACTGAGGTGACATTGAACGTGAATTAGGTAGAGACTTTTCGCCTAATACAAGGTCAAATGTGGGTTTTTCCACACTAGGCATGAAGTTCTAGGAGGTCTTTACCTCAATCATGCTAGACACGATTTAGATGATGTTAGGTGTAAGTGAGACAACGAACTCCTTGCCTCAATGACACCGGGCCCGAGGTATGTTGCACTAAACGCGAGATGCCTAAATGATGGGTATGTTTTGTAACGTTGTATGACGAATATGAGTAGATGTATGATTTCTATTGCATATTGTATGAAGTATGAAAGATGTAGTTCTATGTATGTTAATTATATGTGACATATGTAGATGTCTATATGGTGTTGGATGGTGATGAACATATGTATGTTGTATATGTATGATGTTGTTGATCTCTATATATATTAACTGGATGTGATGTATCTAGATGATGTATGGTAAGGTGTGGATGTTGAGAATGTAATATGATATTAATTAAGACATGTTGGCTAACTTAGGACTTAAGGAGAGAAAATTGTTTTTGAAAACAGAATATCCCACATAAGGAATCTTGGTGTGGTGCTCGAGTAGGCCACTGTTGGAAACACTCCTTTAGTAGGTGTGTCTCTTAGAGTGGGTTTTGAGGTATTTTGATGTCTCTTTTAGGTCCTTAGTTAGTGGTTGAGTAAGGTAGGAGTTTGAGAGTTACAACCATTGACCAAGTATTTGAAAAAGTTGTGTAGTCCCTTGAGGATAACTATCGGACGAACTTCATATGTGACTTGATTATGCATGTCAAGGTCATGATAAACTTATACCCAATTGTACTATTTCTAATAGTGAAACTGGATTTTCCTAGTGTAAGTGGCAAAATCTTAGAAACCAAAGGAGAGATTGTTATTCTATTTTATTGTGATCAAGTCGACAATTCAAGTACAAAAATGATTGAGTTGATTCGGTAGGTGAAATCACTTAGACTACTCATGTTATTATGATATATTTGTAAGTGAATGTATAACGACACATTATTTGAAATGTATGTTGTGGTGTGTTCATATGCATTGTTGGTTAACTTATTTGACATGGTTTGGATGAGATATGTTAGCTTTGTAGTGTTTAACTTTCATATATGTTTGGAGTATGTTGTTGTAGGATATAAAATTGTTTTCTATGCTTAAATATTTTAGAACTCTAGTTTACCCTTGTTGCTTCTACTGTGATTTGAATTGTTATGATTATATTATGTATTAAAGCAAATAAAGGTTAGACTTGAAAAGATGCAAATGAGGCCTACTTGACAATTAGAGACTGCTTTTGACTGATGCCGATGTTATTTTTTGTAGCTTGTATATATAGATGTGCTCGAGTAACACTAATTATATTGTTTAACTTTAAAATTATTATATATACATATATATAATTTATATCAGATGGTTGCACTTTTATATTTATATTATATGTATTTTTATATATTTATTAGTTAAACTTTTATAATTTTATAATAGACTAATTTCTAGTACTAATAATAATTTTATACAGTATTTTAACGTAATGTAGTAATTATTACGAACCGTTACATTTTGAACCATCAATTTTATTTATACATTTTGTCTTTATTGTAAGTTTCACGCATCATTCCCTAACATCAAATGTTGATTATTAGACTTTAGATGATTAGTTGGAACGTCCGTGATAAAGTACACGATTATATTTTTGGCCATTTGTCACTGAACTTATTAATTACATAATTTTTTATTCTTTAAATAATAAATATTACTCCTTCTATTTTTTATTCATAGTCGTTTAAAATTTTGTATGAGACTTAAGGAAATAATTGATATTTTAATTTTTAAAAATATTTATTATTTATTTTCCTATTCTATCCTCTATTTTTTTTATAGTTTCGTTGGAAACATATTATTCTTTTAAATACAACATTAACTTCAAATAAGTGGTTAGAAAAAAATAGGTAGACATTAGAAATAAATAGACACATTATTCGGTAAATATACATTAATTATTAAGGATAAAAATAAAATAAAAATTAATAAATAATTAATTTTAGTAAAATAATAATAAAAAAATGACAAATTCTGACAAAAAGATTATGAATAAAAAATAGAAGGAATAATAATAAATATTTTTTTATTAATGAATATGAAATTTGAGCTGGCCTTATCCTTAGTCAACCCTTTGTATTCAAAGGAATTCCTTAATGGTGTGTTTGGATGAGGAATTTATATAGAGTAATTCATTTATTTGAAGAATTTCAAATTCTTTGAGGTGAAATGCTTTGTTTGGATGAGGAATTTACAAAGAATTTGAAATCCAAACATTTGTGAAATTCCTTAAAATAGTAGAATTTCAAATTCTCCTAAAAATGGGAGAATTTGAAATTCCTCATATTTGTTTTTCTTATTTTACCTATATATTTTATCTTATCTCTTCATTCTTTTAATTATTGGATATTCAAAAATATTTTTAAAATTGTTAAACATTATCTAATATTAAATTTTAAAATTATTAAATATTATCTAATATTAATTTTTAAAATTATTAACTATTTAAAAATAGATTAATATTTATTTTTATAAATTTTAATTTAAAAATCTTAACATATAAATATATTTTTAAAATCAATTTTTATTATGATGGAATAAAATTATCTTATTCAACCTAACAATTTAAAATTTAAGAAATTTAAATTGACTCATCCAAACAAAATATTTCAAGAATGATAAAAATTGAAATCAAAGTAATTCAAATACCAAAAATTTAAAATTCTTTGAATTTGTAAAATTCTTCATCTAAACGTACTATAATTTCTTTGACGCTTGTGGAATTTTGCTGCCTAAAATTTATTGCATTTATATATGTTTAGGGCGTTCTGCACACGGAATCTTGTCGAGCACGCGCGCACCCGCAGGGAATATTGATGACGTTCCTTGTCTGATGAAAATACACGTAAACGATTTTTCTTTTTGTATTTATTTCCCTCTTCCTAACTTCTCCTACAAAACAACAAAATAAGATGGGGCCTACCTCGTACCATTTCTGAATGAAATACTCTAAGAACTTATTATCAACCTATGAACAAATAAATGAATCATAGACAGATTTAATATTAATTAATTAGTATAAGCACATGGAAAGCACTCTCCGTTCAGCTTGAGTAACTTTGGACTATTCCGTCACTGGTCTCGCTCGGCCATAGAAATCATTTAACTGTGCACACTAACATCTCAAGCTTTTACAATGTACTAGTTCTATATATAGCCACAAACTCAATCTAAAGAAAAATTGGGAAAACGACTGATTAATTATTGTAAGGTATTTTTTAAAATTAATTATGTAAATGAGACTATTTTGAAATTATTTACATCTTTGAGATAATTTACTATAATGTTGTTATGGTCCATAATGACATTAGTGTCGTACTATTTTCTTTAGAACGACTTAAATTTAGCCACGTAAAAATTGTTATTGGCTGTAACAACTTTAACAATATTTTTATCAACTGCCTCAACATCTCAAATGACTCAATTTTTTAAATAATAATTTTTTCATAAAAATAATAAATATATTTATTTAAGAGTTGATCTTTTAAAATATTAAATTTACAAAAAAGCAAATTTTTTTAAAAATAACCCAAAATAGTTCAGTCAGCCAAAATAAATTAATAGTATTTTTTAAAATAAATTTAAATAAAAATAATTAAGATTAAAAAAAATTGGTTTTTATAAAGAAAAACTTTTTAAAAACTGAAAAAAATGTTGAAAAAAAATACTAAAAAAATGAAAATGAATAATAAGAAGAAAAAAAAGTGAGTCGCTATAAACCATAACAACATTAGTAGTATTTAATAAAATAAATTTAAATAAAAATAGTTAACATAAAAAAATTCCATTTTATAAAAAAAAGTTTTTTAAAAAAAAGGGAAAAAAAACTCTGGAAACAAGAGTGTTAAAAAAATGAAAGAAAAAAAAAGTTGAGTCACGGAAGAAAAACAAAATGAAAAATAAAAAAAATTAAAAAATTTTAAAAACAGGAAACAAAAATTGTTAAAATAGCCTGAAAAAGAAAAAAAAGAAAAACATAAAAGAAAAAATAAGGGAAGGGAAAAAATGTAAAAAAGAGCAAAAGAAAAAAATAATTACAAAATAATTTTTTTTTAAAAAAATTGTTAAAATAAATCCGTAAAAAAAAAAGAGGTCGCTATGGACCATAGCGACTTCTTTGCCGATACGGGCTATAACATCTTAATGATCCAAAAAAAAATGAGATTTTTTTTTTAAAGGGAAGTCACTATGAGTTATTGATGCTATGAACTATAAGATCTTACTGATAAAAATAAAATAAAATAGGTCACTATGAGTTATAACGACAAAAAGTCGCTATGACTCATAACAACTTTAGGTAGTCAAAAAAAGAAAGAGTAATGCAACTGCCTTACTGCATGCTCGCCACATATCATTTTTATCGCAAAAACAGCTAATATATATTTTAATGCTTTTAAAAAAGTTTACTTACTTTATTATATTTATATTTACAATTATATATATATATATATTATATTTATATTTCTTATATTAAATAATTTAATTTAAAAATTAATTCATTCTTTCTTGATTTTTTTAACAATATATGTTAGTCTTGATCAAATAAATTTAATTTTTTTAAAAAAATTTAAATGCTAAATATTTAAATAAATTAATTTTATTAAAAAAATTATTAATTGACTATAACAACTTTATTTAAATATTTTTTTATGAAAAGATTTTAGGCATTATAGCGACGTTATTATATTTAATTAATATCTAAAAACTAATTT